TGATCCCTACAGATCTTGGTCTGGGAAGGGAGGGAATCCAGAGCCCCATTCACGATTATAATATCTAATTTCATTGCTGTAAGGCCTTATTAAGCTAAAGCAACAACCCTGGAGCAACGTAATGAAGATAATATGTCTCAGGAAGTAATTAATGTGAGGCTGTGAGGCGTTTATTCTTATGTATTAGAAATGAGAATGAATCTTCTCTGTGTGGTCAAACGTAAACAACTATATATTCACCACACACACACACACACACACCATAAATACATAGTAACACACTATCTTACACGACCACATGAGGATACGATAAATGAACTCACACACACAAGAACAAAGTACACTATATAACACACGCACACAGTGTTGGCAGGAGGTGGATATCATAGGTGTTCAGTGCCACACCTGTTTCATTTCCAAGGTTAAACCAAAGTCTCTTATGATAATTACAAGGTCACTTTGAGACACACGGGCCCCAGTCCTAACAGATCCTAACCTAACGTAATCTAACTACTGAATGTATAACGAGCAGATTTACGACTGTTACGAAGTTGTAGGTCTTAATAAGTACCAGGCCAAATTAGGCCCAACCATAACCCATAAAATTAATCCTGGTCCCCATCGGAATTAAAACCCATATGCAGAATCCCACTAGAAGTAAGACCTAGGAAGACCAGACCTTAGTCCTACTGGTTAGGTTGAGGCCTGTTAGTGATGGAAGAATTATTGACTAGTTACCCCCAATTAAACGTGGAACCACCACAACACAAGACCTGCTGGCGACCTATATTTTTATGTTCTATCTGTATCAGCAGCGCTATGACTACAAATACTGACTAACTCACTCACTCACTATTAAGCTTATTTGGTCAGCCCGAGTTGATGGAACTTATGGCCAATTCTTTGTGGTCATTTTCTCATGTGATTTTAACTATATACATTGAAACTATTATTAGTATCATCATTATTATTATGAACTGAGTCAGTGCTCGGTGGCTCAAAGATCCAGTTACGACAGCTGGACTTGTGTCACAAATTAGGGTGTGACGTCATGACCCAGCTGATCCATGTAAACAAACACTAATGTGACTTAATTCAGATCCAGCAACAGATACCAGTGTACGACAAGATATAATGTGAACAATTAAGGCATGGCTTCAGTGTGTGTGTGGTGACAGTTGTATGCATGTCTACTCTATGTATGAACTTATAAGTCTTTTTTTTCCTGTGAATGAACTATGTGTGTTTATGTGGTTGTGTTTGAGATGAATATGATAATTATGTGCACATGTTCATTTACTTTATAAGTATGTGTTATGTGTGAACAAAGTATACATGTGTGTTCATGTATAGCTTAATATATGTAATGTACTGTATATGTGTGTCTATATGAATGAATATTATTTTTATACAATTATTGAATGGACACTATTGTCTATATATATATGTATGCGTCATATAAACCCATAGGTACAGTATACACAGCCATATACCTCACCGACACATCTCTCAGTAGGGGAGCGTAAAGAACAGTGCGCCTCTGAGGACTGTGGTCTGCTTGTCATCAGGGAATATCCTCACTCAAAGACCCTGAGCTGATACTTTTTACCTTAAACAGAAATTCAGCCGTGAGAAAAGAAAATATTGTTGCAACCTAACCAAATGTAATTATTCTACGCTAGGTTAAGTTAGTTTAGGTCAAGGTCAGGGCGCAGTTGGTTTAGTTTGGGTTATATTAAGATCAAGTTAGATTAGATCAGTGAGACAGCTGGACAAGCACTGTTAAGACTCAGAAATGTGAACTCAAAAGAAATCCTAATGAAATGACACATCAACAAGCAGTCTATGACCCTTGGTTTGCAGAGTGATAATTACTAACACAAGCTCTTCACACAGCGTATAAATGCGGCATACATTTTTGTAGACAAATTTATTTTATACAGTAATGAGAGAGAGAGAGAGAGAGAGAGAGAGAGAGAGAGAGAGAGAGAGAGAGAGAGAGAGAGAGAGAGAGAGAGAGAGAGAGAGAGAGAGAGAGAGAGAGAGAGAGAGAGAGAGAGAGAGAGAGAGAGAGAGAGAGAGAGAGAGAGAGAGCTTGAATTTATAAGTTGAGAAAATATATGATCAATTGTTGGAATGGGTCCAAAGTTATCAGGTGTTTGTGCTAAGTTGTGTTTGGTTGGTAAGATCCCAAATAACCAATACAGATTCTCCAAATAGTGTTAAATATATCTTTACAGTTTTTACCAATAGTTCAATCGTTTGAAATTAGTCACAAATGGGGCGAGTTTACCATCAAATTTCCAGAAACAGTTTGAATGGTTTTGTTTGAAGTTGAAAATATTACCAATACAGGCGGTCGAGATCCGAACTTTGGCGCCGACGATCATTACTGGAACAGGACCATCTACGTGATGACTGCAAACTGAAACAAGTTATAGAGATATGTATACCGTTATACTCAAACTTATGCGGTAGCAAAGACTTAAGTAGATATTCTTTCAGGGTATATTTAATATTTGATTTAGAGAAAGTGTTCAGCCTTATCTCTCTCTCACTTACATTAGTCAGATACAACACTAAAAACATAAAAAAGTATTAGATCACTGAGGCGTCTTGTTCCTACGACCTCTATATACGGTGTTCACCAAACCCAAAGTTCACAGAGAACTCCTGATAATGATTACCAATATTATACTGGGAGGGCCGAGACCCTTAATTAACGATTAAAATTCCCAGATCAATACTTGGTTATTGGTTATTGGTAAGAGACTCGTGTTAACACAACCAGCTGAGTGGGAGACCTGATTAGGCTTTCGTTTTAGTATTATCTGTACCCTCAATTCAGAAACGATATTATAGGAAGAGGTAATCCCCCCCCCCCCGAATTGAGGACGCCAGGTAAACAGGTGTAGATTCTCGTACAGGTATCGGTAAGAGGCTAATGTTTACAGAGCCAGCTGAGCGGGAGACCTTATTGGGTTTTCGTTCAGTATCATTATCAATTCAGAAACAACGTTAGGGGTACAGGTAGCCTCGGAAATCGATGGCGCCAAGTTAACAGCAACAGGTAGAGAATTCAAAATTTATCTGTCTGTGTGTGTGTGTGTGTGTAGTAGCACCTGGAAACATTCAAAATCTAACTCCATCTAGTAGGTATACAAACAAACACATAAAGTTTTCACAGTATACCCGTGTATGTGTCACGTATGAGAGAATTATAGATCCGGGAATCGACGTCACGTATACACAACATACATCTAGATACAGAAAATTTACATTACAGCTTGGGTGTATGCTGCACAGGTGTGTGAGTGTGTGTGTGTGTTGTCTAGTCATACAGGAAGTGTAAATAAATATATATAAGCTGTGGCGTTTGTTTGGTGCTCAGAGAGAGAGAGAGAGAGAGAGAGAGAGAGAGAGAGAGAGAGAGAGAGAGAGAGAGAGAGAGAGAGAGAGAGAGAGAGAGAGAGAGAGAGAGAGAGAGAGAGAGAGAGAGAGAGAGAGAGAGAGAGAGAGAGAGAGAGAGAGAGAGAGAGAGAGAGAGAGAGAGAGAGAGAGAGAGAGAGAGAGAGAGAGAGAGAGAGAGAGAGAGAGAGAGAGAGAGAGAGAGAGAGAGAGAGAGAGAGAGACAGAGACAGAGAGAGAGAGAGAGAGAGAGAGAGAGAGAGAGAGACAGAGAGAGAGAGAGAGAGAGAGAGAGAGAGAGAGAGAGAGAGAGAGAGAGAGAGAGAGAGAGAGAGAGAGAGAGACTCACATCACGGGTAAATGCTGTTTAAACTCGTTTCTAGTAACCAGAAAATCCTTGAGAGGCCGTACGAACTAAGGAAGAGGAGGAACAACTTGATAAGGAATGAGAACGAGGTGTAGAGGAGGAAGAGAAGAACGGAATAGGAAGGAAGAGGAAGAGGAAAAGAGAAAAACAAGGAATATTATATGAAAGGATGATGAATAGGACGGGAGGAAAGAAGAGTGGAAAAGATAGGGGATGAGGAGGAAAATAGGGAGAACGATAAGGAGGAAGATGGAGAAGGGGAGGGAAAGAGAAGAAGGTGAAAGAGGAAGAGGAGGAGGATTAAAGAGGAGAGGCTGCTGTGGTCAAGGTAAGAAAAAAAATACGTATCGAAAATTTTATTGAAATAAAGTTTAGGAATTTACAAAGTCTATAAATATTAAAATAAATTGACATGATGTAATTTATTTGACACATTCCCCATATTTTTGCTTATATATAATGTATGTCGCTATAAATATACTGTGAATCTGTACCTTGTATGTGTGCAATATTTTGTACTGTATATGTATACCGTATATGGACTGAAAATATATAACCGTTTGAGAATGTACATATTAATACCCGTGAGTGTTTATATACATATCAATACATTTCTATATACTGAATATACAGTATATACATCTAGGATAAAGAACAAACCAAACAAATGAACATAAGTGAAAAGATTGCAAATAAATAAACAAACTGAAGAACCTGAGTGAACAAACAAATAACTCGACGTATTCAAGAAAAATATAATAATAGGGCCTAAAACATAAGTCATCCCTTAACAAGAACGGTCAATATTTTACCACCAATACAGGAACTAATAATAAATGTAAACCTGGACACCGAGAACTAATTATTCAAATACATCTCGACTCAGTAACTAATATTTTAAATATACCTGTATCTGGGACCCTGGTACATGTGAAATACTGTAGTTCCTGCTTGTATGAATACCAGGAGGGAGGCTGCAACGGTAACCGACAACCTCAATTATTAACTACCGGTTAATTGAAAACTGGATAACTCGGGTCTCAGATAATCACGTCCCTAGATAATTAAAGAATTCAATTGACTGGAGAATTAGGATCATCTGAATATTAGCCCTAATTCATTTCAACTTTATTAACCACTTTAATGTTAACCTAACCTAATTTAACTACCAACACAAGGTAGCGTTAGTGTGTTCAATGATCATGTAAAATAAACTGGGGCTAAGCTTTACGTAATCCTAGAAACATATCATCGTATTCTCGTACAGCAGCTGTGAGATGTGGTGATATCCTACCGTACTGAAGTTAACAAAGTCACATTACCTGTATGCAGTATCTTCAGGGCGGCGCATTATGCCAGTGTCAAGAAGTGAAGGCGAATTTTTTCAAAACTTAAATTAGATTTTCTGGGCCGAGGGAACTAAAGGTGTAATGCATCGAAGGTGAACTGTAAAAAATAAGTTTAGTAAAATATTCAGAAGTTTTCATAAACCATAAGTGAAAAGAACCAAAGTTTAATTATATCAAAGGTTAAATATACATGACCTCGACTCAGCAGTGAGAAGAACTAGTGTTAATTTTTATTTAAATTATATTGACGACCAAGTGAACTGAGAAAAATACACTAAAGTTCATTAAAATTAAAATTTAATAATCTTAATCTCGAAGACTAACAGTGAAAAGTACGGCACTAAAGTGAAATTTTATTTAGATATAAAAAGTTCATTTGGCTTCAGGATGTGGCAATGATATATAAAAAAGGTATTGACAATATGTATAAAATGTTGAGGTTAAATTTGGTGCTATTAACCTGTATGGAATTGAAATGTACAGTATACAGGTATATATTTCATACGATATTTGATCATCACATAATAATTCTCACTTCGATTTTGAACTCTGACTTTGACCTACAGTATTGGCTGAAAAGAAAAAGAAATCAGTGTTCCCTTGGCTGGCAACCAACTCCTCTGCTATGGAGGAGGTGGAGAAAGAAAGAGTTGAGGTATAAAGAGGGAGGGAGAGAGGGAAGATATGGGATGGGAAACATGATGAATGAAAGAGTGAAAAGAAGATAGGCTGGAGGGATGGCTGTAGATGAAGAAAGGAATGGAAGGGAATATGAAAAGCTGGAGGGGAGGAAGAAAGTGGAAAGAGAGGGATAGTGAAGGAAATAAGTAGGACAATGGATGATGAAAGAAAAAAAAAGAAAGGACAGGAGGAAGGTGAGGCAGGAAGAAACTGAGAGAGGCCTGTCGAGGGATATGACAAAATACACCAGCTTATTTCTCCTGGGGGGGGGGAGGGGTTAGGTTAGGTTAGAATAGCATTGAGGTGTATAATCTTCAGGTGATATAAGCTCAGTGGGCTAATCTTCAGGTGGTCCCTAATATTTCTACAAACCATTCTTATTCCATTCCCAACTAAACGACTATAATGAAGTTCATTATCATCAACTCAAGTGTAAGGAAAATATAAGTTCCTACACACACACACATTGTGTACTTGATGGCTGTTCATTTTGTTTACTAAGTTGACTGGTCACTAAGGCCTCCTAATCCACCCACACATAGTGTGAGGGTGTTTCCTTAACTAACAATGTTAGATGGGGTTGTCACTTTGGATAGGTGACTGTCTAACCAAGAAAAACCACGCCAGTCTCTCAAGAGACACACCAATCGGGAACTGTGACACCGTGAGGTGTCATTGTTCACTTCCCCCAGCACTGAGGTCTGATGGAGGCCACTTCCAGCACCCCTGCTAAGGGGTTAGGTAAACCCCTAGCTGCTGATGCTAACTATCAAGGAATTAGCTCATGTTCGGCAATTCTCCAACATACCAGGTAAAGACTTGCCTGTATAAATATGTACTGTATATTTAAATACATATAAATAAGAAAAATATCAACCCATGCACAAAAGCATCAAACAATGACACCCTCAACACTTATGATGTTCACTGTCTATCAGAAAGGCTCGTCAAGGTCGGTGCTGGTGGTGGAGGAGTCACAGAGGACGCCACTTGCTCCCTCACTCCCCCCAAATTGAGGCACCATGAGGGAGGGACGGATATTATTTTCACCATAATACTCCACTCAGCATTCTAATACCCCCTTAAAGATGCCAGATATATCATTAACAACCTCAGGTGAATAATACCTTTGTCACGGTTTGTAATATGCCATTAATTGTATCTTTTGTTAAGGTTCTCTCTCTATTTCTCCACATATATCTCTCTATTTGTACTCCACAGTTTTTGACGACTTTTCACGCCTTTTACCGAGTACTGTAAGGTGAGCTGAAACAAGAGAAGACTCACGTACACATTCTCCCTTCACTCGATGTCTAGTGCAATGATAATTATGAGCTTCGCTATTACTTTAACTACGTATAAAATCCTTTCAAGTGATAATCAGTTCTACCCTCAGTACTTTCCCAGCACAAGAAAGACATAAACAAGTGCTACCTAAATGATAATATTATATATTTGTATCTAAATAGTGTAATAGTATTTACAGATATATCCAGATACCTTTAGTAATAGAGTATTTGAATAAGAGTACAGTATTTATAATATTTGTATCTGAGTAATAATATTTATAGTACTAATATGTTATAATAATTAAAACTATAAGAATAATGTACAGTAATAGTAATCATCACAATTATCACTCATATTGCAATACTGTTCTGTGCTGTACGGTAAATAACATACGCAACTTTCTCAATAAAAATCACCAAAAATAATAACGCAAATCACTGCAGACAGCAAGGTAGTTTATAGGAACACTTCAGTTAAGACTATTGTCTAATAATGACCCAACAAGAGTTAATAATGACAATAGTTTCATAATGTATAGTGTCTTTTCTGCTACAATTAACAAGATAATGACTTAGTACTAAACCACACACACACACACACACACATAAATAAATATAATATACGAAATAAAATCATATACAATAGTGTACAACAAGATTCTGCAACACAAAATATTTTCCTAGTGCATAAAATACTGTTTCATTGTATAAAACTACATATATAAAACATTATTATGATATAAATAAATTTATCCACACACACACACACACACACACACACACACACACACATAAACCACATAAACCAATAAAAAATGTCTATTATAGTAAAGCATTAAACAGAGCTGCTCTACAGTATATAGATCATTATTCCTCAATATTAACTCTAAAACACCATTCAGCAATCTTACTTCCTGACATATTGCTCCTGGAGGGATAAACTTGTAATCATTAAATACGTACAACAGTAGAAAGCAACTCAACCCTCATGATTGTACCTCCATATCGAGCAATCCCCCCATCGTCCTTGGCCCCTGACCCCCAACCTAGAAAATCTGGCACGGTTGTGGTGTAAATGTGTGATAAAGATCTCGAGGACCTACACCCCACTGCTGATGCTCGACTTCGTGTATTTCCTTCCTCACTATTACTTTTTTGCTTGATAGTTATGGCATTTTCTTTTTACCGTATATATGGTCAAGAGAAAGGTGAAAACCCATTACTAAAATTTATATGAAATAGTAAAACTCTAATAAATGGCTATGGTGAGAGAAAATATACGAATAAATAAAATTAAAATAAGGTTGAAAGCACATAAAAATACTCTTACACACAAGCCATTTCGTCTCATGGTGCGGATGAACGGACAAAGCTGATCCCCTGATTCTTGGCATTCAGCAGCTAGTGGGTTACCCCATCCCCTTGATAGGATGTTAGGGTCCCCCATGGGTCGATCCACCATTGGGTAGCGTACCCAACAGAGTACAGCATCATTTTTTTAATTTTTATATTTTTATTTACCTCGTCCCGTACAAGAATGTTAATGGTCATGGGTAACGCAATCGAGTGCTAACAATACTTTTATGCCACGTACCATTAACCTGTCTTCGCCCCCTTGTGTACCATCTTATAACTAAAATCTCAGCTTAAAGTTGTAAAACAAGACTATTACGGCTAACACAGCGTACAATGTGGGTAGCACTCATGCCCTACCGGTTGTGAACCACTGAAAAAGAAAACAGGATCTAGGATATGCTTTTAAGGCCTTTCGTGTACCTTGGACTGAGTGTTGGTTATGAGAGGGTTGACCATGACCTGCCATGTAGCGTCCACATTTATGGGTGTGTGTCCAAGGCAGGTACCCAGCCCTCCAGTCTGGCAGGAAATTGAACCCGAGACCCTTTGCTTGCGAGGAGAAAATCTTTATTAGTATTGAGTTACCGAGTTATAATAATAATCATAATAATAATAATAATAATTTCTCCTGAATAAACACTCAACAATACACGAAATTCTCAGTCATTTCTCCCACTTCTATTCCCTTCATTCCATCCATTCTTCTTCCCCTAATTATCTTTCCCCTTATCCTACATTCATAAAAATAAGACCCTGAAAAATGATCTTCAGTGTTCCTGAGTTTCGAAATCTTACGAAAAAAAAAAGACGGAATCGATGAATCATGTTGTTCCTGTGGAGTTGTCAGCAATGTGTATCGGATGGCACTGGCGGGTTATGCTGTCACTACGTCTGGGTTGTGTGAGAGGATAATGTAGTCGTGGGTCTAAGGATGATTCAAGTCAAAAATTCATAATCATTCCTCCTATTTGGCATCGCAAGTCTCTAACGGAGTAAAGCTTAGAGATCCACGATGCTTAATAGGATAAATGGGTATTGAGAGCCTACTGACTTTATAATATATTTGCGGTAATTGGTACGCCTCACACTCACTGGGTTGAAGGTCCGACATCAATTCACGAAATCATTCAACATAATTTCACAAATAAGGGTTCATCATATCAAAAGAGCATAAAGGGACAATTGCCAGGGCCTTAATTGGTAGTGTACCTATCAACAAGGGTTTTTATCGACGGTAATTAACACAGGTATTGGCTCTCCAAACAAGGTCACAGAAGGTAATTAATGCCTTTAAAAGCAGGTTTGTATTGATATATAAACGGCTTACTGTAGTTTTTAATACTGTATTCTACTTCATGACAAAAATATTGAATCAAATTGTTTAAACATGAAGAGTAAAGTCTATACGCCTGCTTGTTCATATACTGGCTACAGGTACAGTACTGTATTTAATCCTCGATGCTAAAACACACACTGTATATTTATTACCCGATGTTGTGATCTATCTTTTGAATAAAAATCAGTCTCTATATTTTCACGATAAAGTACATCCCTTCACTTCGACGTAACCCGGCACTTTTATAAGTCCCGGTTCTGTGGTACAACTGAACCGTGCAACAAAACTGTGGTGTTGAAAGTCAAATTATTTTCGTAGAAATTGCAATAAATTTCCAAATTCCATCCATAGTTTTTGTATATTTGGTTCAAGTTTGAATATATATTTTTTGTGGGGTTAGGCTGCGTTAAATGGATTATCCTTTTCCCGTTGTTATATGACCCAGCTCTAGGTCACACCTGTTTTTTGCACAGAACCGCGTTCTGCAGTCGCCTCCCCTCCCAACCATCGTTTCCCCTTAACGACCACCAGGGAGAGTTAATTGTTCTGTACAGACTGGGGTTATTTGTGTATGTGAGGAGGGTTACTGGGTGTGCGCGCGCGCGCGTGCGTACGTGTGTGTGTGTGTGTGTGTGTTTCTATTTTGTGTATGTAGTATCTATCTGTATACGTTTGTGTGTTTTGTCTTCACTTATATTCGTGTTTTGTATTTCACATTGTTTGTGTCTTCTTTTTTGTTCCATCTTGTTTATATCTTGTATCTGTAAGCGTTTGTTTTGTATTTGTGTTTATTTTATCTGTTTGTATGAATTTGTTATTGTTGTGTACTGTACTTGTATGTATTTATTTCATTTTTTTTCTTGTCATGTATTTCTGTTGTGTGCGAGTGAATATGTGCATCTGTCTGTCAGTGCCACAGGTGTGCAGGTGTCGTCACTCACACTATATTGACACTTGTTTATCATACACACAGAGGCAAGTTCCTCCCCCTAAAAATAAAAATAAATAAATAAGTAAATAAATAAATCTTAATGTTCCAGAAATAAAAATAATTAGATGAAATAATAACAATAGTGATAATAATAGTGACAAAAATATATACAGTGATTAATACGACTTAAAACAATACAAATAAAGTATACAACTATTAATAAGGTTAATAAAGATTACATGAAGCATCCTTATTTCACATGATGATTAAACACTCTAACATTACATTGGAGATTAAGTTAGGTTAGGTTAGATTAAGTTAGGTTAGGCTAGATTATGCTATGTTAGATTAGGTTAGGTTAGCCTTAGGGTAGTTAATCTTACGGTAACATAGGGTAGGTGTGGTAATCTTCAGGTGATCCCTAATAACTAATGAAAAATATTCAACATAAACTATAAACACAAAGAGTAAAGCGTCACAAACTGTGTTAGATGGAGGTTAGATTTTAACATGTGTGGTAACTGTAACAGCTGCGGACACACATTCATCACAGTGGCAGCCTAATCCTGAACCCTAATCTGGATATATAGGATTGGAGAGCCGGTAAATTTGCCTGATAGGATTATCTAGATGTTTACTACCGACTGGGATTATTATATCAATGTTAACTGGAGCTGTGTGTTAAGTGTTGTATATGCAATGTTTTTACTAACCAACAAGTGTGTGTGTGTCGGGGGCAGACTAGTTCGACCAATCATGAATTACGTGACACAAACAACCACCAGATTACCCAACCATAAGTCATGTGACATAAACAACCCCACCAGATTGACCAATCATAACTCACGTGACAAACAACCCCACCAGATTGACCAATCATAACTCACGTGACACAAACAACCATTATGAGTCATGCCACAAACAATGACGGTTGCTATGGTAACGCTTGACGGCGCTGCTTTTTGACTCTCAGTTTGTATACATACACAAGCAGACACACTTACAGTTCATCCACCCTCATACAAACATATCCACACATACAGCAAATAGGTATATATACACCCAAATACACACATATACACAATACATCCATCTACAAACAAACACACACACACACACACAAGTTGGAAAACACACTTACACAAGTACCCTTACAGTCGCACACACACACACATACACACAAACAGAAGTTGGCAAATACACTTACACATGTACACCTAGTCAGACACACACAAAAACACGCGTTGGCACACACACACACACACACAAAGACGACAATACTCGCGTCAGTTTCTAGTGAGTGAACATGAGGGAGGAAGGGAGGGTAGGAGACAGAGGGAGAGAGGGAGAGAGGGAGAGAGGGAGAGAGGGAGGGAGGGGAAGGACAAGAACATGAGATAAATAATGAATAATTGCAGGAAGTGAAAGTTGACCCCCGCCACGCCACCATGACGCAGCTTACACTCTGCTCTACCTGTCTGTCTTTGTGTTTATCTGTCTGCCTGTCTCTGTCTATATACTGTCTGCTTGTCCCTGTCTTTGCGTCTATCTATTAACCTGTTTGTCTGTCTATCTGTATATCTATCAGTCTATCTTTCTGTATATGTTGTCAATCTATCAATGTATGTCTCTGTGTCTATCTAAGTATCTGTTTATGTCTGTTTTATATATCTACTTCTATCCCAGTTGTCTATCTATCTATCTATCTGTCCATCTGTGTCTATCTATCTATCTACCAAATTGTCTGTCCGAGTGGATGTGATTCTGCTATGTCCGTGTGTGTGTGTGTGTGTGTGTGTGTGTGTGTGTGTGTGTGTGTGTGTGTGTGTGTGTGTGTGTGTGTGTGTGTGTGTGTGTGTGTGTATGTGTGTGTGTGTGTGTGTGTGTGTGTGTGTGTGTGTGTGTGTGTGTGTGTGTGTGTGTGTGTGTATGTGTGTGTGTATGTGTGTGTGTGTGTGTGTGTATATGTGTGTGTGTGTGTGTGTGTGTGTGTGTGTGTGTATGTGTGTGTGTGTATGTGTGTGTGTGACTATAATTAATTAATGGAGTGTCGAGCTTAACGCAGACAAATGTCAACCTTGATGACTGTGTTGTTGTAGAGGAAAAGGTCACACATACATACACACACACACACACACACACACACACACACACACAGGTTAAAGGTCACAGGGTCGGTAATTAAGACCAGGCAGTGGACGGGTGATCAGGAAAGCACACTCAGCCCGAGGTTCTAATCACGGTGTGTGCAATTAGCAGGCGGGTCTTACCCCTGGGTTAACTGGTCTATAATTATAGGTCAGACCCATACTCGTGAGCTTCAGCCGCTGTACCCTGCCCTATGTTTAGCGACAGAACCTTCGCGTTTTTAACAATACCGTCTCCATCTTTTTGTCAGCTACTGGAAGTCGAAATTATAGTTCTAATCGAATTTATGTTTTTCTTTTTTTTTACCATTTTTTTCTTAACTGCATTTATTTAGACCAATTACTTTTCTTTTTGACATGTCTGATGGATGTTCATTCCACGTATTTGATATTTTTCATGTTAGATTCAATACAGCCAACGATCAAAGCTAAGTCATTCTTGTTATACTGTATAACCTTAACTTGTTATCTGGTGGACGTTATATTCATCCTCGTTACTCGGACTCTTTCGTCAGCACAATGAACCTTTTTTCCCCAACTGACTGAAGAATTTTTGACCAGCTCCCCGAGCCCGCCCACGCCACGGTACTCTCCCTGCACCCCCCAGATCGCTGACCAGGCAGTCGTCGCCAATGTAACTCTTGACATATTCTTGGATCAAATGTCCACTTTTAACCGGATTAGAGCTCCGTCCCCTTAAGCAGTGAGTGAGGGTAATATGTAGAGACCTGTGTATGTCCTCCTGGTTATCGAGTAGAAACCAGCTTTACATCCCTCCCACTCTACATCTTTCTCCCCCACCAATCACACCTCACTCTTTCTCCTTCATCCATCATCCCACTCTTTCTTCCTCACCCATCATAAGAACATAAAAATGGAGGAAACTGCAGCGGGTCTATTGGCCCATACTGGGCAGTCCCATTTACACCCAACCCCTATTGCTCATATATCCATCCAACCTATGTTTGAAGCTTTCCAGCGTATTCGAGTTAATGATGATATTTAGTAACTTGTTCTATTCATCTACTACTCTATTTCCAAACCAATGTTTACCTATTCCGCGCCTAAATCTAAATGTCTAATTTAAAACCATTGTTACGAGTTCGCTCCTGGTTGGATAGTTTGCCTACCTTGG